CTGCCACATTTGCTTGTGAGAGAGAGAGAGGAGGATGGAAAGCAAGGCACAGCAGGAAAGTGCGAATAACTTGAAATACTGCTGCTGTAAACATGAGCAAGGCTCCCTCTTTGAAACCCTGCTATTGTAAGCCTGACTGCAGTGCTAATAAAGAATGGTGTTAGCTTGGGGTAACTCACACAGGAGTGGTCCCAAAGCCCAGGCAGGGTCCAGACAAGGCACTTGTGTGTTCCTGGGACAAGGCAGCTCTGCCTGTGCCATGGCCAGGGAGGGAGGCAGGCTGAAAGCACCACTGTTATTTCACTGGAGAGGTCTGCAAGTTACTCCAAGCTAAAATTGACTTTTCTTAGCGAGGCGGTGAAGGCTTAAGCCTCTAAATCCTGCATTACTTGAATCAATAGGCCTTGCAGTCACTGAAAAGAGTATCCCTGAGAAGGCTAAACCACATAATCTCCATCTCCCTGGCGCTGATGGCCGAGTTCCCACAGTGTCTCTGGGAAATACCATTATCCCATCATGGAGACAGCAGCCAGCACAGAGACAAGCCAGGCAATGCCTGCACTGCAGTGACAGACACTGGTGTGGACATCTCTGTGCTCTCCTGGGCTCTGCCATCCTCCAGAGCACCCTGTGCCCTCTGGGTGCAGGACACTGCTGCTTCCTGAGCCCCTGCTCTACTGCAAGTGTGGGCTGGGCACTGCCTGCAGAGAGGGCTGGTCAGCACAGACAGTGCAAATGTAACTGGTCTGAGACAGCACAGGGAAGTCATTCCTGTTCTCAGCTCTGCTGGGCTGTTCTGTCTCTGCCCTGGAGCACAGGACTCCCCATTTGCATATCTTTTCCTTCAGGGAAAGTACCCAGTGCAAGGTTTGTGCTAGCAAGACCAACAGATTTCAGGACACCTACTTTCTTTTTCTGACCCAGATGGCTTTACCTGCTTCTATAACTATTTTATGTAAGAAAAGGCTATTGGGCAGTAGCATTAGTTTCCTCAATATATATGTAAATTTTTTAAAATAACAATAGCAGGAAAGAAAAAAGAAGCCTGTGCCACTGAGTAAGGAAAAAGGACTTTTGCTTAATTATCAAGGGGAAAGGGCATTGCAGCACCAGCCCAGAGACAGCTCTGAGACCCTGCCTGCCTTGCCCACTGCTCACAGCTTGGCCACACCACACAGATCACCAGCAGAATCTTACTGCTATCAAGGAAGAGAAAACAAAACAATGGATGGGATTAACCCCAGCTTCAAATGCAGGCCCACAGTGCTGCCACATCAGACTTCCCTCTGTGCCAGGAAAGTGCCAGTGCTGTGCACCAGCGCCCGCAGACTCAGGAAAATGTGAGATTGCAAAACCTCTGCTCTGAATTCCAGCTGATGTTTATGGAAAGCCTCAGCAAAGTGCACTGTTGTGCAGCAAGGAAAAACATGACAAACAGATGAGACTTTACCAAAAGGCCAAGTTTTCCAAAAAGTCTTGTCCTGAGCTGGAAGCTTGCAGAGCAGTTAATCCCTGCTCCGAAGCAAGAAGTGACACCTTCAGCACAGCAAACAACTGAGTCACTTTGGGCTTTGAGGTGTTGCTTAAATACACAGGGCGTCCTCTGTTTTACTCTTTTTATGTTCTACCTTTCCTATTTTTCAATATAATCAGAAATTCAATTCATGAGGTGTCTCATGACAGCCTCCAACAATCTTAAAATCAACATTTTCATTAAGCAGTTGGGTTTTGGTATTAAGAAATCAGCAACTTGCAAGGGCTTCTATCAAAAGTTGGCGGACACCCTGGTAGACTGCTCAAACATGGGAGGAATTTCTGGCTGCATAGTAAGTCCCTAGACTTTTAGAAAAATATTATTGTTTGAGTTTTCAGTAAATTGGAAGCAAAAAGACAACATAGTCAAATTTTTCTTTTAATAAAAATATGTCATTTTTAATAAAAATGATAGCTTTGTCATTGTAGGCTTCTAAGTTTCTTCTCAGCCCATGTGTCTGTCTTTGCTATGGAATATTCCTGATATAAGAGTAAATAAGTGCACTTTGAAGAGCACTCAGAGATATGGTGACATCATCAGCCTTAAGAGTTAATGCAAAACTGTGAGAGCGGTCCTGAGCCCTTGAAGCCCCATGCTCACTGAAAGAAGAGCATGATAAAGATGTGTCTGTGCTGGAGATACCCCCAGAGTGATGTTTGTAACAAATATGGAGACACTGACTGATTCCTGCTGTGCTCCCTGCTAATGCCAGCCTGAGCATTGTCCCACAGACAGGAAGGACTGTAAAGAGCAGCTTCTCCATAGAGGCAATCCTTAGGCAAATTTTGACTATAACATATTTTGATCCTTTCCCCCTTCCCCCCCTGTAGCTCTAAATTCCTTTTCCATGTCCGTTTTGAATATTGCTTGTAAAAGGCTATTAGCCTTTGTGAAGAACAGCTTGTGTTTCCCTGTTAAAGACCTTCTCTGCCCAAGGCGGGGAATGCACCAGAATTAATAAGTGGCTTTGCATAAGTGACTGGATAAAAACAGTCACTGAAAAGATTCTGGAGGGCTTTGGTAGCTGTGTATCTGGCTCACAGATGTGCCAGGTGCCCCAGACTGAAAGGACTCCCCGTGCCTGGTGTCACTTACAAGTTCTCCTGAAGACACCTCTGAGCTTCTTAGAGAAAGAAGAAATTATTTACTCATACCTGGACCATAAATGGAATGCACTCAGAGATCAAGGATAATCTTGCTGATGAGCTACAAATAGAAATAACTGAGAAGAAAGTATTTGTCTTTGTTTAGCTGAGTTGCAGATTCTGCATGCTGAGATAGGCAGTAGTGCTGATGAGATACTGGATATTGGATAATAGTCATTTGGGTCAGAGTCAGCTATGCAAGTAAATCTGGCCCAGGGAAAAGATGTGGGTGAGGAAACTAAATTCCAGTACTTTGTGGTTTTTCAGGGGAAAAAAAAAAAACCTACTGTTTCTGAGGGTAGCTGAGCAAAATTCTCACAGCAAATTGTCTCAGCAATTGTTCCCCTTAACAAAATAGCTATTTGGGGAAAGGGTTTTGTTGGTTTTGTTGTGGGGTGGGGGTTTTTTTTTGTGTTTTTGTTTAGTTTTGGTTTTTGTTTGTTTGTTTTGGGTGTTTGCTTGTTTTGTTGGTGCTTTTGGTTTGGTTGGGTTTTGGGCAGGGGGGGTTTGGTGGTTTTTTTTTGTTGTTGTTGTTTGGTTGGTTGGTTGGCATTTTTTAGTTTTTAAATTTGATTAAGTGTTTTGGTGAAGCCTGGATCCAGTCTTTCCTTTCCTAAGTCATCCTTGGCAGCAGCTGGGTTGCTGACTAGTAGTACTGGGAGACCATTTATGCTGTTCAGAAAACTGCTGTTCTGGCAGAGCAGAACACTTTAGCAGCTTGCCAAACATGACTGAGATAGAAGGATAATATTTCACTCCTACCTTCAGCTATTCTTTACAATCACAGCAATGAGATGGTGATTAAGAGTCTGTTTCTTCCCCAGCAAGGCTCCCAGGCAGTAGGATCCTTTCCTTGGACATGTTTACATTGATGGTCTGGCTGCTTGGGACCCTCTCAAAAGCCTACCTGTCCCCTCTGGCCTCTTCACTGTCTTGTCCAGACAACTCTTCCCAAAAACATGATCCAGCACTCCTAAAATTCCCACAGCCAGGACTCCCAGCTTTTCTTTCCTCTCCAAGGATCTACCACTTTAACATTCAGGAGCACATGTTGTTAGTAAACCAGCTGGTTTTTATGAAGGCAAAGAAGTGCATAAAAAGACAGTAATATACAGCCCTGTTCTCCTGTTTCCCCCAGGTGTTTTGGTGCATTTAACTCATTCTCTGCAACATATAGAGTATGTCCTTTTCTCCAAAACTAGTTTTACCACCTTAAAATGAATCTTCCTAGTGTACTACAATGTCAGGGGACTGCAGTACTTCATCAGATACTTTTTTGTTTTAGTTAATACCTTATTAGAAGCTGAATTTAAAAATTTGGGGGTGGCATAACTTTCAAAATAACCAGTTCTTCATTCAAGGGTACCTCCATTTTATAGGACAATTAACATATAAAACAACATATGTTCAGCTTCAGGCTTGTATCCCAGCATCTGGATTTCTCAGCTCCGTCTGGAATCTAATAAAAGAACAAAGCCTCATAAATTCAACCCAGAAAGCCAAATAACTTTTATACTTTTATCAAAGCCATATAGAGAAGTATTCACTTTGCTTGAGACTACAAACATATATGTACATGGGTCTTCCCAAGCAGCCATCACAAGCACTACTGTTTGATTGACAAATTGGGAATAATAGAATCATAGAATGGCTTGTTTTGGAAGCAACTTTAAAAATCATCTTGTTCCAACCACACTGTCACAGATGGGGACACCTTTCACCAGACCAGGTTGCTTGCTCAGAATGCAACCCAACACAGCCTTCAACAATTCTGCAGATGGGGCGTCCGCAAATTCTAGAGGTAACCTGTTCCAGTGTCTTACCAACCTCACAGGAAAGAATTTCTTCCCAATATCTAGCCTAAACCTACTCATTTTCAGTTTGAAGCCATTCCTTGTTGTGTCACTCCCTATCCTTGTAAAAAGTTCCTCTCTATATTTCTTCTAGGCTTCCTTCAAGTACTGAAAGGCTGTAATTAGGTCACCCTGATGTTTTCTCTTCTCCAGGCATAAAAATTCCAATTCTGTTAGCCTTTCCTCATAGGAGAGTTGCTCCATCCTTTTAATCAACTTGATGGCCTCCTCTGGACTCACTGCAACAGGTCCGCGTCCTTCCTGTGCTGGGGAAGTTTGCTTTTTGGAAGGATTTCTCTCATTCTGCAGCAAATTCAGGGAAGAGAGAGAATTAGCACCTATGACACTTTGAGAACCCAGTGCTTTTCCTTACACGTATTTCTGTTGTTTGAGGTGCTCACTATGTTGTTTTCCTTCTGGAAAGAAAAGAGCCAGTGGCGTTTGTTTTGGTTACCCTCATTCCCTCTTCCCCTGCTCTGGGCAGGAAAGCTCTTGCAGCTCTGCCTCACGGCTGGCAGGAAATTCAAGACGGCAGTGAGCCGCTGCTCGGACCACCCCCAGGCTTTTCTTCCTGCTCATGCAGGAGACTATTTAATTGAGGGCTGATTTGTCCAGCTTACTCATTGATGCTCAGCAGTACCCACCTAACCAGTGGGAGTGATTATTTCCCTCCCTCCCTTCCTCCTCTTTTGGACAAGCTGCCCACCATGAAGATGCTGCTGCTGCTGGTTGCTCTGCTGTCTGCTGCCAGGGCAGCCCCTCCGACCTGCTACTCCAGGGTGCTGTCTCTGAGCAAGGAAATCACTGAGTCCTTCAGGGAGCTGCAGACCTCCACAACTGTGGTGAGCCCACCTCAAAACTGCTCCTGCACAGACGCTGCAGGCTGCCACTTTTGAGAGCGATTTCTCTCCAAACAAAATCTCAGTGAGCTTTTCCTCCTTCCCGCAGGACTCGTGCGTGGGGACGCTGCCCAGGCTGTACTTGGACATACATGTAAGTCTGCACACTTTTCTTACTGTTGTGCAGGAAAAGCAGTCAATGAAAAGTGAGAATAACTCTTAGTATTATACCTCAGAGGAGTGATTTAAAAGGATATTTAAAAGTTTAATTAACTAGGTAGGTAAGTAACAAAAAAAAAAAGTTAGTTTGAATCTTATTATTATCCTAATGGTCTTTCTAAGATTTTACTTGATTAAAAAATTTAAAATTAGGAAATGAATGTTTTTTAAGTTATTACCATATGCACACAATTAATTTACTGTGACAGAGCCTTTTCAGAAGTTAAGTAAGTGCAAACAAAACTTTGAATAATAGTGTAAAAGGAGAAATTTAGAATTAACTTTCTTCACTCAATAAATCTACATCATTTTATATCCTGAGTGATTTTTGGCAGTTAGTTTTAATAAAAAGCAATACAGGAATACCTTGCTGGCTTTTTCTCTTTTAAAGAGCTACTTGTTAAATGTAGAAAGAAAAGTGTGCCTGAGGATATGGAAGTGTGATACTGAGAAAAAAAAACAGTAGTTGGCTCCCAGCTAAGAAAAAATAACCTGCACACACAGTTAGTATCCTAGTGTTCTGCAGTGGGGTATTTGATACATTTTGCTTCTTTTTCCAGTGTTCAACAGAGTAGATAAAAAATAGAAAATATCAGAAAAAACAAATTTCTGACACATATTTTCATAAGCAACTACATCAAGTCTCGTAATTCAGGACTCTCTATATCCCAATTCCAGAGCTGCCAGTGTCTCACATCATGGCAAAGACCAAGGAATGTGATTCCAGTGCCTCAGTTTCCCTGGCTTTAAAGCAAAAGCTGGAATATTTATTTGCCTGCTTCACAAGGACATTGTGAAATTCATGTTGTCTGTGGTTTAGTTTGATAACACAAAGTCTGAGGTAAAAATTGCTTCGAAAAAATCAGGATTGGTCACGGTTCCTCCTATTGTACAGGAACAGAGGAATCAGTCTGTGAGACCTTGATAATCTCTTCATCTCCTAAATCAGGTGCTCTCTAAAAAGTGAGAGAGTGCACCTATTGTGTAGAATACTCCACCTACTATGGGAGCAGATTTGATTGCATTGGAGCTGCTGCATGTGAGAAATTAGCTGGCAAACTAAGACCGTATACATGCAATTTTCCAAGCACTTATTTGGACCAAACATCTTTGTTATAAAATATTAATGAGTAATTTGCCTGACTAAAGGTTGCATAGATTACATGTACATAGAGGTAGGAATTCAAGGCTCCCACACAGCAGTAAGAATTTTGGAAGTGGTGGGCTTAACATAAATCTGTGTTGTGCAGGGTTACACAGGCCTCTTTTGCGTGCTTTGCAGAATTACTGTGTGCTGGCAAAGCTCCGTGACTTTGTGGCCTACCCTGGCTGTGACAGAGTGCCTGAGGTGAATGAGCTGAAGGAAAAAGCCCGGAGCCTGTACACGATCCTGATCTCCTACTGCAGAAGGGTAGGTCAAGATGCACCAACAGGGGCAGAGTCCCTGCTTTTAGCCCTGCCGGTCTCCACACCGTCCCCTGACCACCAAAACTCAGGCCCTGGCTTCTCACTGTGCTGTCTTCTGCCTTCCTCCTTATAAATCTTACTCTTCTTTTTTTCTTTTTTTTTTTGTTTGTTTGTTTATTTATTTTTTGTTTGTTTATTTTTGGGTTTTGTTTTTTGTTTCTCCAGGACCTGGTGTTCCTCACTGATGACTGTAATGCTCTGGAAATTCCTATTTCACCTCCCATTGAACACTCCATCACTGCGAGCTAAAAGACACTTAACCCAAAAGTTTTACCTGGGAAAGTTTCAAGGAGACCAAAAGTCAAAATGTGTATATGCAGTCTATAGCATTAACAACTAAGATATTTTTCAAGCACACTAGCAATATAACCTCAGACCTACCCATTTTTCTCTGCCTTGGCAGGAAATGAATTGCATGCCTTGCATACCTACTGAGCTGCTAGGGAACCTACCATTAGGGAGCAGTTTTTCGTTTGGCAAGGTACAATATTTCAGCTCAGCCAAATGTATAAAGTATGTTTTGTTTAAACATCAGAAACTAGATTTTTTTTTATTTTTACTCTTTTATGAATAACTAGACTCATATATATATATTCTCTCTTGACTTAGCAGTTTTTCTTGTATTAGATGGGCATGGAAGGGACCATATTTGTTTTTCTTAGAATGTTTGATAGAAGGAGAATAATGCTGTACTGACAGATTTCTCTGCCTATATAGCTCATATGTATATATATATATATCTTGATAGTTTTTGATGTCAGATTTGTGAGAATAGAGGTGAAAGAAACATGTCTCTGTGGAAAACTAAATAAAAACAATCTTCTAATCCAAGATGCTTGTGTTGCAATTTGTCTTTCAAGATCAAGCTGAAAGTGTCACTCTTATAAACTTACTTTTCACAGTCACTTGCAAGTTGGTTTTCCCAGCATAACCTTTGTTTCCATAGCAATGCAAACTTTGTTGTGTCTGCATGCTTTGACAATGTGTAAGTTTCTACTAGTAGATTTTTTCTACACTAGAAACAATTTGTTTGATGAAATTAGTGATTTGTTTTTAATAGTATTTCTGGGTTGTGAGATAAATTCTGAGCCAGAGGCTCAGAAAGCCTATTAAAATTTCAGATAGTTTTTTGAGACATAACGCATATAGTTGAGCCAGCAGGATTAATAAAATTTCCAGACAGTAATTCCAAAGTCATGGGTGTCTTCAGCATGTGCAGCACATGGGATCTTCACAACCAACAGCTCTTTGGTGTCAAGAACAGAAAATATCTTCCCCATATTCTTGGAAGTAGCTGCTGTTACCTCAGAGAATCCCTTCCTTCCTCCAGTGCAAGTAATTCCTCTGTCTCCAAAATAGTATTTGTTGACCATTTACGTACAGCACCACCAGCCCTGGTGGCTTAGTCCGTGGTCTCACCATATTTTATAAAAACCTCATCTTCCATAACTGGGTGTTTGCACAACAATCACAGCTCCTCTACTTGACATCCTGATGGTACAAATCAACATGTTTGACAACTGTTATGTAAATAAGTTAATAACAAGGTTAATTCAAAGCAAAAAGAGTGTTGGGGATGGGCAAGAAAGGGTTTTTCTTCATTATGGAATCACCTTGTTTTGTTGAAACTACTAGTCTGATTTTAGCAATAGAAACCTTGATTGTGCCTTTGAATAGAATAAGGATGGGAAAATCTTCTTCCTCCCTGTACCAGGAGAGGTACAGGGGGAAAAAGTAAACAAGGAGTTTTCTTTCCAGTTCATTTCAATTTTAAGTGTACATTCAAGGAAAATGCCTATCAGACTTTGTAATTCCCTCTTGAAGATTAAGTCATCATATGCTAACCCTACTAATCCTTTAGATGAGCCATTCTGCCTGCAGTGGTTTCACTCCAGTGTCTCTGCAAGCATCTGGTAAGAGACAGTAGCAACTCAGCAAATCTGATCTAGTACCAGGCTGAACTCAAAAACTTGCACAGCTCAGACAGCCCTACTATCAGGAAAATCATTGCTTGGTTTGCCTTTCAGAACTCTTCTCTCCAAGCCAACAGCCTCTGTACAACACCCAACACACTCTAGAGCTACCAATACCTGTTTTTCTGCATGACCTGGACATGCCCAAGCCAAACTCCTTCCACAACAGCCACATTCTGCAATAAGGACACCTCAGCATGCTGGCAGGTAGCCTGGTACCCACAGAAGGAGTGTGTAAGCACTGGCAGGTCCCTGGATCAAGGTAGACTTGGACCATTTGCTGTCAGACTCCAAGTTCAGATTTTTGCTCCCTCTAACCAGGGAGTGAGATTCCTCCTGGGGAAGCAAGCAGCGCTGGAATAACATGAAGTTCAATCCATTTCCACAAAAGTACCAAAACCACATCACAGCCTCTGTTTTTCATATCTTTGTTCAAAGCCAGCCATGGATGAGCCCTGCAAGAAAGCGTGGAGCAGTCACCACAGGCCGTGGTGCTTACAAAGCTCACCCAGGGACTGGACAGTACACGTGCCTGAAACTGGCTGCAGAAGCTGTTAATTTTGGGCTGTTTTTTCCACCTCCAGATGTCACAGGTTTTAAACACTGGCCTGTTGTAAAGCTTGTGTTGTCACTTGGCAAGCAAACTGCAGAGGAGGATGTGTTTCCTCTCCTGCAGAAGCTCATACCATAGTGCCTAGAACCAGACCCTGGGTGAACGTGCAGGTAACTGCGGCACTTCTGCCCCTGCTGCTTTCCTGTCCCAGGGACACACACTCTCTGAAATTGAGTATTTGATGAGGATTTTCTCATGGATCTTCTCAAAACTCCTCTTTTTCTTTATTGAGGCTAAAAAGCCTTCTCTAGACATTTTGATGAAACGTGTGATCATAACTCCAGATTTCTCCCATGATGTTCCCATTCCTACAACCATCTTCCAAATATGTTTTCATCTGTTTCAGGCTGATAACTTCTGCGAAGAAAATGTAACCTAATTTATTTAGTACTAAATATCTTGCAAGAAGTCTTTGGAATTGGAAACAGAACAGAAATCATTGTTTTATTTGCACTGTTTAGCTTTTTCATGACTGACAGGGACAGACTCTGCAGTGCACTCAGCCTGGCTGCTTACCAGCAGCTCTGCTCAGCCCTGGTACATACTCGTTCTGCAGAAGCTGCAAAAAGCAAGTTGGTGCTTTGGGGACTGTACATATTTGAATGGATTTTAAAAGCCTATCCCTGTTTGCAGGTGTTGTATATTTTATTCCCAGAATCAGGTTTTTCTGGTCGTTGGTGGGCTTTTACAAGTATATTCCCTATGGCTTATGTGTGACTCTCTCTACATCTCATATGACATTTTTAATGAAAAGTGTGCTGAGAGCAAAGCTCTGCTCTTTCAGTTCACAGTAACCTCCTGTCATTCGGACTGTCTTAATAAGATTTGTGATTAGATGAAGCCTTTTTATGAACAATGTATTTTGTTTTCACAGTCCAGTGACAAAAAAACCCCACTGATAAAGAGATATAATACACTTGTAATTTGGCAAGAAAACATCCACCCCTCCCTTTGAGTACAACATGAAGTTTACCAGCTTTTTAAGTCACTAGGTATATAAGGTGCAGTGGAGCCATTCACACAGCTGAGTATTTATTCCTGCAACACAGCAGCCCAGACTCATTAGGGCTCTGGCCAACAAGGGGGACTGTGGAGGGATTAAGAAGGACATATTTGTTGTAATGTGCCAACTGGCATCTTGCCTAGTTATTGCAGAATTTTACTATAAGCACATCATTAAGAAAGTGCACTCAGTTTGTACAGTGATTAGGGAAGAACTGTAGAAAGACAAAACATCTGTTCTGTTTTCTTGCCTGCTGAAGGAAGTTTGTTGGAAGGAGCAGTCAATCCTAGGAATAGGTTTTCTTTTGGAGACTTCTCTGGCTCTGCAGGAAGCCTCACTAAAGACCTGCCCTAGGACTGCTAAACTCTCCCTTATATTGTGTGGAATCCCAAGATCCTGGGTATTTTCTTTGCAAAGCTATTAAAAATATCCATTTCCAATTTTGCAAAAAACTCACAGATCAATTTTACTGGAACCAGCTCCTTTCCCTTCTCTTTTTTTCCCCAGTGAAATTTGCTTTCCTTAAGTGGGCACTCTGATCACTTAACTCCTCATACACTGGGTTTTGTGAAATCAGGAAGGATTGTAGACTTCAAACATATAATTAGGTCATTCAGGGTGATGAAGTTCCATGATGATGATGATAGAATGTTATTTGCTAGTAATTAAAGTGGTACAAATACTATGGGTTTTTTGTTTGGTTTGGTTTTTTGTTTGTTTGTTGAGGTTTTTTGTTGTTTCTTTTTATTTTGTTATGAGAAGGGAAAGCATTAATGCAGCATTGGAGAGGAATCAGATCTTTTAGGCTGTACACTTTGAGAAGAGCATTGCTTTGTCCAAACACCACATTTGGAAGTGCCCATTTTTCCATTGCACCATTTCCAATGCTTGAGGTGTTTGCAGGTTGCCTTAACAAGATTCTGACCTAGATTTTCCAAAAATTTGCTGCATTGTTAAAGTCTGGTAAATAACGTTACCTTAAAAACATTTAACCACTGTACTTGGACCAGTACTTTTATCCACATTAAAATCTTCTTATTTTTGGAGTGTATGGGGCAGTGCAAGTGAAAATTACAATGGGCAAGCTCCAGCAACTTTATTTGTGCAATCTTTTGGGTTCACAATTTTCTTTTGCTATGGCCAGGAACCCTGTGCCATCCAGAGTAAATAAACCTGTCTGCAAGGGAGCTCTTGGTAACTAAGTCAAAATTCAGAGACAACATCCAGAGAAGGGTCATGGTCTTATTATCAAGGGATTTTTCATAGTCTACGTTTCCTCAGCATAGGGCAAATGGATATCCTGAGATGAATAATATAGCAATGAGCAGAAAATCTATCAAAATATTTATTTTTCTAACATAAATAATTATATAGATATATAGCCTGAAATCTTGTGTCATATTTGCAGATCTGTAAAGAGGATGTGTTCAGACAGATAAGAGGATTTTGAAGGCAAACTGATTTGGGGGGAAAAGAAATTTCTCCAAAGATGTTTTGCAATAGATTGGAATATATTGGCATCACTTCATTAATACTCAGACCTTACAGAAGGAAAAATCAAAGTCATATAACAAGAAAGAAACTCAAGATTCTCCTTCTGCATCCCTTAAGCCCAAGACTAGCCTGACTATCACAGGTCTTTTCTGGTAGCAGCTGGGATGAAAGACTTTATGAAACAGTTCATCTAGAATGCCCACAGAAGTTCAAATCAATCCATTCTAGACCCCGCTTTTGTTACTAAGTTTTATCTGGAACCCAATTTACCCTCTCAAAATTTAAACTCTCTGCTTTCAGATTTATTTATCACAGAAATGGGGA